TCAGGGCCATATTCTTCAACTACGGCCACTTTTAGCCTCGTGGAGTTGAGTAAAAAAACCGGTTCAAAATAAACGTAACAGCCTCGTAAGCTTAACAATTTGTGTTTAAGATCTGTAAGAGGACAAACTTATATAAGAAGAGAAACATTTTCTCCATCGTGAACTGAACAAATGTCAATTCCACCATATCTGAATATACAGCTTTTATTTCAAAATGAAATAAATGATGGCCGTCAAACATCGTCTAAGATCTGTCTTTCCACAATATATATATAATAATTATACATTTGTCAATGAAATAAATGAATTGTATGCTGGATTGTACACCTGACACACTCTACCCTGCTGAAAAATCCATCTTAAACCAGCCTAGGATGGTTGGCTGGTTTTAGCTGGTCAACCAGGCTGGTTTTAGAGGGGTTTTGGCCACTTCCAGGCTGGTTTCAAGCTATTTCCAACCTGGTTTTAGCTGGTCAGGCTGGGAGCTGACCAGCGAAAACCAGCTTGATCAACCTAGCCAGGCTGGGAACCCAGCCAAAACCAGCTATGTCCAGCTTAACCAGAGTGGTCAAGCTGGTTTTAGATGGTTTTAGCAGGTCACTTTCCAGCCTGACCAGCTAAGACCAGGCTGGAAATGGCTGGAAACCCTCTAAAACCAGCCTGGTTGATCAGCTAAAATCAGACACCCTCCTAAGCTGGTTTAAGCTGGATTTTTCAGCAGGGTAAAAATTTAATATTAATTTGGTTAAGAGCTTATCAGAAAATAAATCAACTGAATTTGTATTAAATAGAGCATGAACTCATACATTAACACACTTTTAATGTGTGACGAGAACTTTTTAAATATGTTTTATAAATGTGTGTGGTGACGGAAATGACATTTCAACAGTTTATTTTGGAAAAAATGAAAGATAGCTTCAGAGATTAGCTTTGAATTGATACTAGCCTTTCATGTCTACAAAACACTGAACATGTTCTCAGATGTCACTATTTATTTTCACAGAAACCACCTCAATAATCTTTCAGACAAACTTTTTTAAAGCGACATTACAGTGTTGTGCTGGAAATGACACTGATACTGTGCGACAGCTATATTTTGTATAAATAATAATATTGATAATAGTCTCACATTAATAACTATAAAATATTCAAATTATTTCACTAGTGCTTCATTAAGATAAATTAATAGTTACCAGATTAATAACATTTTAAAATGTTATTTTCATTGTTGAAGTTTAAAACAGTGATTTTGACACCTAAAAGGAGGTTGAATAATATGAAAAATTTAAAATAGAAGTGGATTAATTTTTTTAAAAGTAGGTTTTATTGTTAGTTTGACAAAGAGAGAGAAATTTGAACAAAATTATATGGATATATTTGGATATATGATCAAAGGACATAAAAGTGCCCGTAGTTGAAGAATTACCCATTAGGACGCGTCGTCAGGCGGCAATACTGGAGTGCAGAATGTAAGTGCAACTGTACCAAACAAAATCACACTTGAAGCTGATGAAAATGATAGATTATTGTCATCATTCAGCTATATTTAGCAGGACTCTATACTGCTATTCGCAAAGCAAGACGAAGTGAGAAAATCTTTTGTGGCCAAAAATATTTGCAGAGCAAGAAGCTTGACAAGATTTACATTTGTTCTTAGAATTTCTGCTCAAGTATAGGTGAGATAGGCTAATATCCTTATTAATATTACTCCTAACTTTGAACATTAAACTGAACTGGTTAGCTGGCTTTTCTTAACCAGGATCACAATTTATTATTTTTTTTTTTAAAGAAATTTTTCTTAAAACAAGCAACATAATCTGCTAGTAGGGTAAAAATAATCTTGTTTTGAATTGATCATTTTGCTTACCACATTGGCAAAGTATTTTTACTTACACACACACACACACAAACACACACAGTCATTTACTGAAGAGCTTGTCTTTATATGCACCTGAGCTCAGATTCTCTCTGTGATGTTTGTTTGCATTTATATGAAGAATCGACGAAAAGAAGTGTTTTTTGAACAGCATTTATTTCTATTATTATAAACACATTGATGTCACTTTTGACCAATTTTTAATACATCCTTGATGAATAAAACCATAATTTTATTAAATACTTCCATTATTACAGGATTACATGAAAATAAACAATTGACATTTTAAAATCATCACATGGATTTCATTTAATAATAAATATACTGTATATCCAGATCTGGGTAGTGCAAGATTACATGTAATCTGGATTATGCAATTGCAAAGATTAAGATCATGAACATGTAATTAGAGTAAACTACTCTTTAAAATACTCATAATCAGACTCGAGTTACTCTATTATGGATTACATGATTACATATTATTTACACAGTGGCAGTAAGTTTTTCCACTAAATCTTTCTCTTTAAATATTTATCATATTAAACAACACTTATATACATTCATATTTCTTCATGTTTGCAATGTTGCTATTGGTTAATGTTTAATCTGCACTTTTAGTGTTTTTATCTGTGAGTTTAATGTTTCTCAATATTGGTTGTTTTAATGTGTTAAATGTGTTTAGACTCATCAGATGTGCTTTTAGTAGTACAGGATTATCCTGCTTCAAAAGAAGGTTTTGCACAAATGTAATCTAAATGTAATTCAAATGTTGCCAGATTAAATTACCATGAAATCAAGCTAAAGCCTGGTTTATACTTCAGCGTCAAGTGATCGGCGTAACCCACGGCACATGCAATGTGCGTAGCTGTGCATTAATACTTCTGCGCGCTGTCTCTATTTGTCTGCATTTACACTTCCGAAATGCTAGTTGGTAGTAAGCTGTTAATGTTCCTCTTTGTCGTGTTTTTTCGCCTGTGTTTTGTTCTTTCTGAACGCTTCTGGCATGTACAAGTGGCTCAAACTCGCTCATTTTGAGGCAGGAACCGGCGGACGTGCAACAACTTTAACTATGAGGTAAACACAGAACAAAACTTTTCCATCCGGAGCTCCTTCACAGGACACCACAACTGAAAACAATTACTACATTGGGCTCGCGCGGCTCTCTGTCCCGCCTAGACTCGTCAGCGCTATCAAGCGAACCAATCACAGAGCTTGCGCTACGCGTCGTTGTGACGTGTAGTTAAATTTTTTGAGAGGTGCACGTCAGCGACGCCGATGGCCGCGGCGTAGGGCTATGCGTCAATGCCATAGCATACGCGTGCGTTTGACGCAGAAGTATAAATCAGCCGTAAGTGTAATCCAAAAGTAGTCAGATTGCGTTGCCAATAAAAGTAATCTAAATGTAATCCAAAAGTAGTCAGATTGCGTTGCCAATAAAAGTAATCTGTAAAAGTAATTTTAAATCACACTGAACTGAACTGAACTGAACTTAAACACTAAAAACTGAACCACACTGTTCCAGTTACTATGACCATTTATGTGAAGCTGCTTTGACACAATCCACATTGTAAAAGCGCTATACAAATAAAGCTGAATTGAATTAATCTAAATGTAATCCAAAAGCAGTCAGATTGCATTGCCAATAAAAGTAATCTAAATGTAATCCAAAAGTAGTCAGATTGCAATGCCAATAAAAGTAATCTAAATGTAATCCAAAAGTAGTCGGATTATGTTACCATAAAAGTAAAGGCAATTCAAAAGTAGTACGATTAAAATGCCGTACAAGTAATCTAAATACAATCCAAAAGTAGTCCGATTGAGTTACAATGAAAGTAATTAAATCTAAAAGTAGTCAGATTACATAATCATAAATGTGTAATCTAAAATTGTGTGATGCGATTTGTAATTAGATTACAATTTATAAATAATCTACCCAGCTCTGTGTATATCAAAATCAGTGCCTCACAATTGCTGTATCTATAATTATTCTGATGCTACAAACACTGAGGAGGAAATTCAGAAGAAAAATGATTCGCTAACCGTACAGAAGGAGAACATTTCATCCTCCTGAAGAGCATCACAAACCTGTAGGTCTATAAAGGACAGAAGTGTTGCTACAGAACAGAGGTGTTAGTTTGTGTCAGTGTTTTCAGAAGAGCTGAGGACTCCTGGGATACTGGAATAATCCTCTTTCTCCGCTTCGGGTTTCTCCGATTCCTGCTGTGTTGCGGGTTTTTTCATGTCTTTAGAGCACTTTCCTTCCAGCCAGTACGTCACCATGTCACCTTTACCCTGAGAGACACACATCAAAACCACTTACACATCAGTCTGACTGATTACAGAATTAGGGGTATATTTTTGCATTTATTTTGCTTAAACTGGACTGATACTACAAAAATTATAGTTTACAGTAAAGCAAATCTATTTTAAATGTAATGTAAAAAATCCTTAACTGTTATAGAGAACATTTACAGCATTGACAGTAACAGAGTTTACATTTCCACGGTTAACGATAACAGAGAGGACAGTAATAGAGTTGGATATAACAAATTTGACAATAGCAGAGTTGACAGTAACAAAGTTGACGATAACAGAGTAACGGTAATAGAGTTGACGATAAAAGAGTAGATTGTAGCAGTTGATGATAACAGTTGATGATAACAGAGTTGACAATAGCAGTTGATGATAACAAAGTTGACAATAGCAGTTGATGATAACAGAGTTGACAATAGCAGTTGATGATAACAAAGTTGACAATAACAGTTGATGATAACAGAGTTGACAATAACAGTTGATGATAACAGAGTTGACAATAACAGTTGATGATAACAGAGTTGACAATAACAGTTGATGATAACAGAGTTGACAATAGCAGTTGATGATAACAAAGTTGACAATAACAGTTGATGATAACAGAGTTGACAATAACAGTTGATGATAACAGAGTTGACAATAACAGTTGATGATAACAGAGTTGACAATAACAGTTGATGATAACAGAGTTGACAATAACAGTTGATGATAACAGAGTTGACAATAGCAGTTGATGATAACAGAGTTGACAATAACAGTTGATGATAACAAAGTTGACAATAACAGTTGATGATAACAGAGTTGACAATAACAGTTGATGATAACAGAGTTGACAATAGCAGTTGATGATAACAGAGTTGACAATAACAGTTGATGATAACAGAGTTGACAATAACAGTTGATGATAACAGAGTTGACAATAACAGTTGATAATAACAAAGTTGACAATAGCAGTTGATGA